CCTGGCTCAGTGGGAGTCAGCTGGGCGGCGCTTCAGGCGACGGAGAAGCGCGTGAAACGCCCCGTCTGCAATCCAGACTGCCGAATGTCTCTCTGCCGGTAGGTCGCCTTCCTCTCAAGCTAGTCCAGCCCCTGAGGGGATGCCTCCCGACCGCACGTGCAAGAAGAAAGCCCAACTAATGATGGCTAGCTCCTGGAAGCCTCCTAACCGCACGCGCAAGAAGAAAGCTCTTGGACTGTTCAATATTGCAGACGTGAGCAACTGCGAAACCTTGGCTGGTTTACTTGCGTGCCGCAGGGTTTCTTGCGCGCGCCGGCCATGCGTCTGTTTCACCTCTCCGCCGTACCACGAAACGTCCGAACTCAAATCGGAACAAGCCCACCGCGCGTAGCCCATGCAATTGCCGGCCGTGCTCCCCGATTGGGCAGTCGCCGGGCACGCCCGCGCGCGAGCTCCCGAGAGCGGCGACAAAGCGGCGCAAGCAGGTATCGCCAGGACGTGCACAGCGAACGCATGCAAGCTCTCAGCGCCCTCGAAAACGCTCGCCAGCGATGCCCGAACAGACTCCATATTGAGAAACCTTGTTTTCTGTCGGAGCGCGCTATGGGGATTATGCCCCTGCTCCTTCGCCTTTTCTCAGTGTGTCGATGACTTCCACGGGGTTCGCCTTCTGGTTAGTCTATGATGCCCGTGCCTTCGAGCTCCACCATCGCGCGATTCTCGACCTCCCGGACGACTTGCGGCGATATGATATCCTCAAAGCTCTCGGCAAACGACGCCGTGGGTTGCACCAACTCCCCCGTAGAGTACTCAGCGCCACAGGGTGCAGCAAAAACGCTCGGGCAAGCGAGCATTCGAGCGCTGCTTGCAACACTGGGGCGTCCGCGATTCCATTCAAATCTTCGGCAATCACGCCGCCCAGGTACACAATTAGAACGAGCTCCAAGCGGAGGCGCTCGCGACGGGGGAGCGGAAACGAGTCCATCTCCTCCAACGCGTCTGCCCATACATTCACAGTGCAGAAGAAAGATTCGTTCTTGAACCCCTTCAGCTCTCCTTGCGTATCCGTCCTTATCATGTCCAGCGTGTCGGTGCCTCGGATGCCTGGTTAAAAGCCCTCGCAAATGTGGCGGCGCAGGGGTGCGACGAACGTCTTACGAACGACGCGTCCTCTACAAGGTGGCCAATGCATGCGATTGCCAGGATTTACCTCTACACCCGAATGCTGCCCAAAGCCTTCAACAACGGGAACGAACGAATGTGGTCACTTGTTTGTCACAGGTGCAACCAGTACCTGGTCCCGTATAGCGAATGCCCTCGCGCACTCGTGCGGGCAATCAAAACGCGGTGCGTTGTTTTGGGACCTCGTGGGAAGTAACATTCCTGCTTCGCGAAGCTTACTATTGGTTCGTTCCTTCGTGCACAAATCTGTTCCGGGGGTTGCCCACGGGCATATATTTTGCCATTTGGTGCAAGGTCCCAATATGAGGTCAAGAGTTCCAGCCGACACGAACCGGGTCAAGACCCTGTCCAGATACGACTTCACCCCTCAGCACTTTTGCCGTTCGGGATACAACCCCCAGATTTCTGAGCAACGCAAGGGGAAACGCCCCCGCCGAACGGCCCGACCAATGTTCCAGGGCACGCCAGGATGGGGACGGGAACTCCAGGGGCCACAGGGATGCGTCCAGCGCCCTGGCATTAATGCCCGTCCCCGCTCCCTCAGAGTCACTCTCGCCGTGCTGGGGCCTGCCACAAGACGACGGAATGGGAATGGAGGAAAAGGAGGAGCGGAAGCAACCCGAGGCCCAGAGGACGTGCAGAATCCACTCGAAAATGGGAACGGACACCGCTGCGGGACGCCAACGACGCGGCCTGGCCACTGCAGCCTGTCCATCGGAGGGATCGCCCTTGAATCGGGGGCGCGCAAACATGGATTAGCGATCCATGGATTTGACGCGCGGTCGCCTAATTCATGGATCGGGAGAGGTGCCCCCCCAAAATGCGGCCGGTGCCGCCTCGATCGGCGGCGGCAATACGTGATTTCCCATGGAAGCGGGACCCGTCGCTAATCCACGCCCCCCGAATCCATGTTCGCGATCGCCGAGTTGAACCATCCCCGCCTTCTGGCGAGAATAGCGCGGCAGGCTGTGAAAACTCCATTGTGCTGTGCACTCGGCTCGCCGTGGTCAGCGGACTCCCGCGCACCTCGAAGCTCCAGGAGGTTCGCGCCGACCTCCAACGCTCGCCCCCACACTTTTTACAAGCGCAAGCGGGCCCCGTGGCGAAACGCAAGGAGGAGAGGGGGAGGAGAGGGGGGAGGGTGAAACCGCGGGCAGCCAGCCCCTGGGCTGCGCCGCATCAGCCTAGTCCGGCGGCCCCGGCCGAGCCTCCAGCCGCCTGCGCAGCGCCGCGCGCCAGCCCGCCTCGCTGCCTCCCGCTCGCACCGCGGGCACCAGCAGGAGCGCCGCTGCGCGAGGCGGCAACGCGCTGGCCCACCCCGGGCAGGGCCGAGCCGCCAGCGCCCGCCAGTGCGGGGCTGCGCTGCCGCAGCAGAGGCACGCGACCCACCCGGGGCCCTGCGACGCCGCGTGCGGCGCCCACGCGCCGCCCCCGAAGAGGGCGCGGGCGGCCTCGGCGGCACCGCGCTGGGGCAAACCCTGGCCGACCGCCCACGGTCGCCGGGGGCGCCGCTGCAGCTGCGGCTGCGGGTCCCCTGCCGGCGCCGTCTGCTGCTGCTGTGCCCGCCGCCTGTTGGGCCGCGCAGCCCGGGCCAGCCGTGGGCCGCCCGTCCAGCGCCTGTTGGGCCCAGCCGGCCCGGAGCTGTCGTGGTTGGCGCGCAGCGCGGCCAATTCCACGGCGGCCAGCAACCGCTGCAGGCAGCGTAGCGCGCGCAGCTGCACCTGCCGCCCGACGCAGAGCGCGCGCTCGGGCAAACAGGCGCGCGCGGCGGCGCCCGCCAAGCGGTCGGCGGTCTCATGCCAGCGTGGTCCTCGGGCGCGATCCCGCGACCCGCCGCCGCGGCTGCGTCGAGGTGCCCCTTGACCCAGCGCGCCTCGATGAAACCGCTCTCGCAATGCGGCCTCAGCAGCTCCCTCAGGTCCGCGTGCGCCCACTCGGTGGGAGAGGCGCCTGCGCGCAAGGCCGCGACCCCGTGGCACACGTAGCGCGAATCAGAGACCAGCTCCAGGGGTGCTCCGACCGCGCTGACCGCGTGCACCGCCGCGGCGAGCTCGGCCCGTTGCGCGGTCTGGGACCCGCCCACAGGCCCGTTGCGGCGCCGCAGCAGACCGTCGGACCCTCGCCAGCAGAGACCCCACCCTGCCCGAGCCAGAAGCGGGTCTGTGGGGTGCTCGCAGGCGCCGTCGCTCCAGGCCCGCAGCCGTGCTTGCCCAGGGCCAACCGCTGGTGGCGGCAGCGGAGGCGGCGGCAGCTCCTGCTTGGCCTGCGCTGCCAAAACGGCCAGGCGCGCGTCCAGCGGCAGCACCCCGGTCAGCGGAACGCCGGCTGGGAGGCGCGCGAGCAGGGCTTCCTGGCTCAGGCCTGCGGCCTGCAGCTCAGCGCGGCGAGCCGCTGCCCACTGGGGGCACTCCCAGAAGCGGTGTTCCTTGGTTTCTGCCGCGGCGCCGCAGTGCGGGCAGCGCGCGGGCCGGCCCCACTGATTGCAGCCAGGTGTGTCAGCGGGTGGGATTTGCAACCAATCAAAGCGCGACAGGAGACAGAACGGACCACTCGGGCCCCGAGGCTTCCAGAGGCGCTTCCCGTCATCTGCCGACCTCCTCTTGCCAAAAGTGAAAATGCGTATTGGCTGTCCCCCTCCCCCTTCTTCCCCCCCGCCTCCTTTGGGTCTCCAAAGTGCCGTTTCAAGGGGGGGAGGGGGAGGAGGGGAGATGGGGGGCGAGCTCGCCAACGCACCCCCAGGGCCTCTGGAGCCTCCAGGGAGCTCCCAGCGGTCCCAAACAGAGCGCCAAGACAGTCGAAAAGAGCGTCGAGGCGGCCCAGAATGGCCCAGGATGACTTCAAGACGGCCCACACGGCCCCCGGCCCGAAAGCCCCAAAGGACAATCGAGAAGGCCTCAAGGAGAAAGCATCGTCACATTCCCGCGGGAAAATATACACGTTTAACAATGGATCGTCCGTTTCGTCTGGATGGCTTCTGAGACTGCCCAAGGGGAACCCACAAGGTCCTCACAAGAGCGAGGCCCCCAGCAGGGCCCGAAGAGAGCCCAAGCGGGCCCTGAGACTACCGAAGGGGCCCCTCAGACGACCAAAGAGGGCCCTGAGAATTGAGCAGGGACCGACCGTCCCGGCATGCCTATAGGTCTACCACGACATGTTCTTAGAACACAAAAACAATAGTAGGACAACAATGGTCTTACAATGACAACCCGACGTGTTAAAACAAGACAGTCGCGGCCAGAAATGTTCTAGGAACACGTCGTGCAGACCACAAAAGGTTATTAGAACATTCTTCGGCGGGCCTGTAGGCGAGCCAGGACGCTTCGCCACTGCTTGAGAGAGGGCCCACGAGGGAAACACGAACTGATATGTCGAGCCTTTACCCCCAAGATGGCCCCAAGAGCCCTCCAGAGCCCAGAGGCCCCTCAGGCGCCCCAAAGAGGTCCCACGAGGCGTCCAAGACCCCCTAAGAAGCCCCCAAGAGGCCCCAAAGAGCATCCCAGATGTATCCAAGAGTCCTGCAAACATGCCTCTGAGAGGCATCACAAGAGACCCTCATATTCATCCAAGAGGCTCCTGACCCACAGCCCAGTCACGGTGGCGGATTCGGCCGAAGGCCACTAGAAATTTGCCACGATCGTCGCAAGCTCTGACTCCTTCTGGTGCTCGGCGGAATGGTGTAAGCGACTTGAACAAGAGAGGGCACTGATGAAGCAGGAGAGTGTAGGACCAGCTACAGTGAAGCATGGCCAGGCGTCAAGAGGACGTTCGGATACCGTCTTCTCAGCAGACGGTGCTCGCGCGCACCGCCAGGCGGTCTCCTTCTTGAGCAGGTCGGCCTTTTTCTTTGCCTCATACTCCAGCCTCCTCTTCGCCTGCTCATCCTTGTACCTGTCCGCAGCTTTGATCTCCTGAGCTTCACACTCGCAAGGCCGCAGGGGGGGGGGGGGTAGCGACAGAAGGAGGCAGTGGCTGAGCCCTGTGCCTGCACAGGGCGGCTCCTCCTCCTCCTCCTTCTCAACCTCATTCTTATCCTTCTCCTCCGCAGCAGCTTCATCACCATCGCCATCATCAGTATCATCATCACCAGTATCATCACCATCATCATCATTAGCAGCATCGTCGTCATCGTCAGCACCATCATCACTCTTACCATCGCCATCATCGTCATCTCCATCACCATCATCAGCACCACCATCAGCATCATCATCACCATCATCATCATCATAATATTCAGCATGGTGAGCATGCTCATCACGCTCGTGATGATCGCCACAACCACCACCACCACCATCATCATCATCATCAACAACATCATCCACATCGTCATCGGAATCACCATCATCATCAACATAATCAAACTCACTGTCAACTTCATATCCATCGACCTACCATCATCGCTATCATCGTTTATCTTCCCTGTTCCGTCACCTCTCGTCATCCCTCTCATCGTCCGCGGACATCCTCCAACCTCATCCCCGCCTCGATTGTCTGTTTCCAACAAAGCTGAATTCATCAACATCGAATCCGGAAATCGGATCCAATCGAAATATGCGTCGGACCGGGCCGCATCGGCGAGGAACGGGAATCGAATCGGACCGACCGCGCAAGGATGCACAGCAGCGTCACGCAGGCATCAGGCCGCAACGGATCGTAGGAGCATCGGAATCGTATCGGACCGGTCTGGCTAGAGTCGGCATCGAACCCGATCGATCGCATCGAAATAGGCCTTGGGAGGTGTTGGTTCACCTCCACACTTGAGGAAACCGGCCCCTGTGAAACTCTCCCAGAAGCCACGAGAGGACCGACGAGGGACACCCCGAAGAGCGTCCCGAAACACTCCTCGATCTTCGATCCTCCCTCCCCCCCTCCCTCGACCTTCGACTTCTACTGGCACCCCCGTTGGCACTGCACGACCCCTGGGGCTCCTGCTCCACCTTCGACGGCCCTGGAGCGACCGCGGGGGCGCCTGGCGGGAGTCCGCGAAGGGGAGAGGAAGGGGTAGGATGGGAGAGACGAGGGGAGGGATGGGGGAGGGGAAGCAGGGAGGGCAGGGCCAAGGGAGGGAGGGGGGGGAGGGGAGGAGGGGGGGAGAAGCAGAGGGGGGGAGAGCGAAGTTACAGATCAGAGGTAGAGCATGGACAACATCTGCTCTTATCGTGTGCTCGTGTGATTTCAGAGACACTTTGCGGTACGCAGCCCGCCCCGCCGAAGTTGGGCTCAAGCTCTTACAAAAAAATCGGAACGATCTCCGCTCTGGTGGCGGAGCCGCCCACGGGCAGCGCGCGCGGCCCTCGCCACGCCACGCCATCGCCTGATGCGATGGACGCGGACCGGATAATCGACGAGAAGATCAAGATCACCAATCAACGCCATATGCGACTTCCTCGTCACAACAACGGCTTGGTGGGACGCTTCTTCTCAGCATTGATCTGAATAAGATTGCCATCGAGGAGCTCACCCACACACACAGTAGAGCATACGATTATCCGATCGACAAGTTCGGTCAGATCGGTAAAGCACACAACTCTCTGACCGACGAGTTCATTGATTGTGGTGAAACGTCAAAGTATCCGATTGAATTGGCAACAGAAACAACAATGGACTTCAGAGATCAGTCGATGCCGCTGGAAGAGAGCACAAAACAGGCAGACAACTTCCGGCTGGATGCCTGGCATCGCAAAGTATGGTGTCATGAGCTGATTGCAAAAAGTTAAAGCACTGGTGGAAAATTGTTGTTCTTCGGAGATTACATGGAGAAGTGTACAAGCAACAATTGCGACTCAAAGTTTAAAGAAATGGTATGGAGTTCACTGGAGAGAATGCCTTTGCATTAATACGAGAAGAAGCTGATCCAATCGATGGTGCAGTGGCCCAACCTTCAGGCGTCAGCCTACTCACGCGATGATTGGAGCAAGAATATGGCGTACATGAGCAGTACACTGTTGAAGTCGCCCTCGACAAGTTCTTCCAGTTCAAGGGAGGCCAAAACGACCTCGGACAGTATATTGCGGACTTCGAGCTGCCATGACTAGACATCAGAGCAAGCGGGATTGAATATCAACGCAGTTGGCAAGAGCCACTTACTATTGCAAAAAAAATGTGGTCTATCGGCGAAGCGTATCGGTGACACCAAGTTGAAAAAGACGACGATTAGAGACGTCACAACGACATCAATGCCATCACGACACGCCTCGACTGCGCATCTGGCGCACCAGGCGTGACTGGCACGCTCGGGCCCCAGGGGTGCCTGGCGCGCGTGGCGCGCCTGGCACGCGTGGCGTACCTCGTCCCAGAGTTGCGCACATGGGGTCGGTTTTGGTTCCCAGCAGCTGTCCATCCAAAGACGACCGCCGAACATGCACAGGCACGGGTGTTACTTATGTGTTGGGAAGGCGGGTGGGAATGAGCTAGACGGCTTGCTGTCTAGGAGGGTGTCTTGACCCCTCCCCCTAACCCCTCCCCTGAACCTGGAGAAAAGGTTTCGCGAGCGGTCAGAGCATCTAAGATGGCCCAAGACAGCTCCAAGAGGGCCTCGGAGAGCCCAAGTTGACTTCCAAGACGCCCCAAGATAGCCCAAGATGGCTCACTATGGCTCCCCAAATGCTCCAAGAATCCCCAAGACCGCTCCAAGACGGCTCCAAATGGCCACAGAGCCTCCCCTGGAGATCGGCCCACAGCCGCTAGCGGTCTTGCACGCGCACCAGGAGACGGCGCACCAGGAAACAGGAGGGAGGCGGGGGGAGGAAGGGGGATGCTCCCTCCCCATCCTCCCTTATTCATCCTCCAAGTCTGCATAGCGCGCCGCACGCAGGGTCTTCGACTGGGTTGACCTTGCGGGATTAAGGTGCTTTCCGAAATCCGACTCTGCGAATAGAGATGAACTCAACGACGTGGAAAGGGATGGGAGAGATGGGCAGGACGTCAGATATGGGGCGAACGCACTCTCAGCTTGCCATTTTCCCTCTATCCTCCCTCCTCTTGACGGCGAGAAGTGACAAGGGGCAGGCCTTCCCAGAAGGATCCCCGGGGCTTCTCGTAAGCCCTCCCGCCTGCTGAGAAATCTTCTGCGCCTTCTCCGAAGACACAGAAACCTTCGCAGCGCCGCCCTCTGAGAAGGCCTGCCCCTTCTCCCTTCCCCTCTGGGCTCGCCGCCCATCGTTCCTCCTCCTTCTCTTCTCTCCCTCTGGAGGAGGGCGAGGACGACACAGCGGACACCGACGAAAACCAAGGAGGAGCAGGAAGAATGAGGAGTGCGGAGCGGGAGGGTGGGTGGGGGGGGAAACAGGGCGGGGAGCAGGGGGAATGGAGGAGCGAACTGGGGAGGAGGAGGCAGGACAGCAGAGCAGACGAGGAACGAGGAATGGAGAGGACGAGGCGAGAGGAGTGAAGGGAACGAGGAGGGATGAGCAGGCAGGGGCAGGCAGGAGAGGGCGCAGGAGGGCGCCGAGGACGCGAAGCGGGGCAAAGAAAACAGCGGGACGACGAAGAGACGGCGAGGAGGCGGAAACCGGCGGGGGAGACGAGGACTGGGCTCGCACACACGACCTGTCCGTGCCTTAGCTGATACGCAACACGGAACACGTAGACGTAGAGTAGTGATATGAAGCTCACCACGTAGAAGGAAAACGTAGGTCTAACGCGATACGTTCGGCGAAGCGTGGGTCGACAAATGCTGAACCAACACGCAACGTATTGACACGGACGTTTTGGGCACAGTACGTGTTGGGAATCAAAGCGAGCGTATCGAGGCAGCTAATGTCCGTGCCAACCGACGTGGAGGCGCGCCCCACGAGGGCACTGCGCAACTGTGCGTGTAAGCGCCCCTCCCGAACACACCCTGGGGGCAGGAGCCCTCGGAGATATAGGCTCGGGGGCGCGTCTAGCACATCGGGCGCCACGGATGCACCCCCAGCGTGGCATAGGAGCAACTCCATTCTCCTCCTCCCCTCCTCGTATTATGATTATTAATATGCTTAGTCTGAGTGTTATTCTTATTCGTCTTCGCCTTCGTCTTCGTCTTCGTGTTCGTCGCCGGCTTCTTCTCATTATTTTTCATCTGATTTGTCTGCTTCGTCTTCTTACTATTATTAAGTTTGTGCTTATGCTTCTGCTTCTGCGTCATCTTCCTCCTCCTCCTCGCCCTCCTCGTCCTCCTCCTCCTCCTCCCTCGTCCTCCCTCCTCCCTTCTCCTCCTCCTCCTCCTCTTCCTCTTCCTCCTCCTCCTCCTCCTCCTCCTCCTCCTCCTCCTCCTCCCCCTCCGCCTCCTCCTCCCCTCCTCCTCCTCCTCTTCCTCCTCCTCCCCCTCCGCCTCCTCCTCCTCCTCCTCCACCTCCTCCTCCTCCCCTCCTCCTCCCCCGCCTTCTCCCTCTTCTCCTCCTCCTCCTCCTCCTCCTCCTCCTTCTCCGCGTCCCTCCGCCTCCTCCCTCCTCCCCTCATGCCTCCTACTCCTGCTCCCCTCCTCGTCCTCCTCCTCCTCCTCCTCGTCCTCGTCCTCGTCATCCTCCTCCTCCTCCTCCTCCTCTTCCTCCTCCTCCTCCTCCTCCTCCTCCTCCTCCTCCTCCTCCTCTCTCCTACTCATCATCCCCTTCTCCCCCTGCCCCTCCCCCTCCTCCTCCCTCCCTCCTCCCTCCTCCTTCCTCCCTTCCCCCTCTCCGTTCTCCCTCCTCCCTCTCCCCTTCTCCCTCCTCCCTCCTCCCTTCTCCTTCCTCCCTCCTCATTCCTCCTTCCTCCTCCTCCCTCCTCCCTCCTCCTCCTCCTCCTCCCCTCCTCCTCCTCCTCCTCCTCTCCTCCTCCTCGTCGTCGTCCTGCTCCTCCTCCATCTCCTCCTTCTCCTCCTCCTGCTCCTCCTCTCCTCTCCCTTCTCCTCCTCCTCCTCCTCCTCCTCCTCCTCCTCCTCCTCTCTCCTCTCCTCCTCCTCCGTCTCCCTCCCTCCCTGTCACCCTCCATCCCTCCATCTCTCCTTCTCCCTCCCCCCTTCTCCCTCCTCCCTCTTCCCTCCTCCCTCCTGCCTCTGCCTCTGCCTCCGCAAAACTATTCACGCCACATCGACGTCCTGGTGCAGCGCGCCCGCGTCGATCTCGTCGATTTGCCACCCTTGCATTGCAACATGTTGGGGCTGAGACAGAAGGCCACCGTCTTCAATGCGAGCTCTCTTGTCGAGCGTCGATTCGCGCAGGATCTCCAGCGCGCTCGACTTGATTGCCCGAGCAAGCAAAGGCGCCAATGTCTTGGTATCTGCGTCTCCCTCCATGGAATCCAGACAAAGTGCTGGTTCCTGCTCATTAGCCTTGAGGTCGGAGCCCGCGAGGCCGCGAGGTCCACCTGCATTCTCTGTTTGGCCGCCTGCGGCTGGGACGACAGCCCTCGCAACTCAGAATCGGACTCTGCCTTCTGAAGACGAGCGCGGGCTTGGTCAGCTCGCCTCGGCAAGGCCGTGAGATTCGCTGAGAGGGGCTTGTTCTCATACAGACTCGCGCGCCAGGACCACAAGCTTGTTGTTAAATTCGAGCTTGATGACGACCAACCGCTGCACAAGCTTGACCAAGTCATTGATCACCCCACGCAGCTCATCTTGTTCACTAGACTCTGGCGCGGTTCCCCCGTCGCCCTGCGGAGTACGAAGACGAGAGCTCTCGGCCTCGAGCTCTTGCAGCCGCTTCTCCAATTTGGTCAGGGCCGAGGTGGGCTGGACTGGCTGCTAACGTCAAGCCTTTCCCTCCTGGTCGTGCATATCTGGGGGCACCACAAACTTGAAACTGGCACTCCTGCGGATGTGACATTGGTAGCACCTGTCGCTCGACCCATAAATGATGAGCGGGGCGTCAGTGCGACGAAATGTGCTGAGCTTGCACGTAAAATCTTATTTTGCCTTCTGCTCCACGGCGCTGGAGCTATAGAGCCGTAGATGCAGCGACGGAGGGGCCGCCAGAAACCCGCACAATGCTATCTGACAGTTGTCGAACGTACGTGCCCTGGCACTGCTGCGGATCAGCGGTCTCCACGCTGTTCGCGCGGGAACATGGGCATTTGAGCCGAAAAGGCTCCGGAAACGGGCCAGGGGGTGTGAGGAGGAGGGAGGAGGTGAGGAGAAACAGGCAGGGAGGGATGGACAGGGCAGGATGGAAGGAAGGAGGGAGAGCAAAAACGAGGAGGGAGATGAGGAGGGGGAAGGGAGGAGCGAGAAGGGATGGGGCACAGACCAGGGACCGAGGAAGGGGAGACACGGCGGGCCGAGCCTGGCAAGGTGATGCTTTTGCCGCCCAGCAAGGCCGCCCCGCCAGCCAGGATGATCCCAGCGATGGGCGCGTACCTCTGGGCGGGAGGGGGCCCTATAGGGATCGGGGGGAGTACCCTGACATCCTCGCGTTGCGAAAACATGTGTTATTATTGTTGTTGCTGCATGTTTGTTGCCTCAGGGGGCCCTCACTGGGCCCCGGGACCCGGGACCGGCCAAAAACGCCCTGGGATGACAAGCCAGTCTCTGGAAAGGGCACCAGACCTCTGGGAGCCACAGTGTGAACACATGGCGGCGTTGGAGGTATAGGTTTCGGAGATTGTTTGGTGTTTCTGGAAAATGTTAAAACGACTTCTTCTATTACCACCACAGGAACGTTGACTAGTGACTAGCACTACGACTACGACTAACCATTACAACCACTTACATGAAGTAATGTGTTACTGGCCACTACCAGACCTCCAGAAGTGCTACCATCGGGAAGGTCGAGGGGGGCGGCGAAGGAAACCATTGACAAAAAGGAGGAGTGGGAGAAGAGAGACCAACACCACCTCCAAAATAACACCGACACCGAACCCAACGCACAACTTTTCGCGCGCCTGTCGCCCGCGAGATCCCGCCTGCAAAATACGCGAACACACTTGCTGCAACAACCCGTGCCGGAAAATCCCTCGGACAACCCCGCGAAGATCCAAACAGCCCTACCCTGGACAACCCTCCCCGGCTTCCTTCCCACAACATGCTATATGCATCGGCCCTGGGCCCACAACAGGCCTTGCCACGATCCGTGCTGGTGCATAGCTGGCGTCCCCCACGACGAGGTGGCCAAAATCGAGGCACAATGGGGACGAATCCGAGCGACGCCGGAAAAACACCCTTGCGAGATCTCATGTCCCCGCGTGTGATACGGAAGCGCGTCAAACGAGGAGCACGCGAGCACCCGACGCCCGCCACGGAGCCCTGCTGCATCGCAGGAGGAGCAGAGGTCCAGCGTGTGGAGGAGGGCGTGCGGATAGATGGGGAGGGAGGGAGGGAGGGAGGGAGGGAGGGAGGGAGGGGAGATGGGACGGGTACGCAGAGGCGCACAGGGTTAGGCAATCGATGTTTGATCCATGCCCTTGCTCGCGCCCTGGCCCCGCGAGGAGCCAGGGAGCGCATGTGGATAAAATCATGGCCGTCGAAGCCACGCTGCGTTGCCATCCCTGCCCTGCTGCACCTGGCGCCCAGGGTGCGGGACAGCAGCAGCAGGAGTACGGATCGAACGCCGACCGCCGAGGGAGAGGAGAAGCAGACCACGCTCGCGTTCCTGGCCCCCGCCGTCTGGAGTCCGCCGCGCGAGGCAAGAGGGCCGCGGGCGCGAAGTTATGGGGGGCGATCGATGGGGAGACGAAGGGTGCCTTTTTCGGGCCCTGGAGGCCCCCTTCTGGGCCCTACAGGGCCCCTTGAGGGACCCTCAAGGACCCCTTCTCGGCAGCCCTCGCCGCCCCCCCACTATCGCCCCCCCGTGAATTCGCGCCCAAGGACCAGAGTGAGGGGCACTTCCGGACCAGCTCGCTCCGCTTCTTGGCCTCCTCCTCGGCCTTTCTCCTCGGGTTGGGGCCGGCCGTGCGGGTGGGCCAAGTGGCCGGGGACGGGCAGGGGGAGGACAAGGTGTGGGTTGGAGGTAGGAAGAACAGCATAATCATACATAACCGATCCCCATCCCCGGCGGCGTGGCCTGGGCCACACTGGCCGATTTACCTCCCTAGATGGGGATATAGGCAGCATCCTTCGGGTTTCGAGGGGTTTATCCCCAACTGGGGGGGTAATTTGGTGGTGGTCTCGAGGGGGATGGGGATGGGGATTGGTTGAACGATACCGACGATCCGCGCAGATGCCTTGGATCTGCGCTGGACCCCCTCGCCTGCCTGGCGCACGGAGCGCGCCAGGGGCAGTGCCGGGGGCGCCGTCGGCGGGGCCCAGCGCAGGACCAATACATCCACGCGGACCGTAAAACATGTGTGCTTTTTTGACATCCACGGTCAAGACTCATGCAGATGGGCAAAAATCGCCGAATGACTGAGCTATTCAGACAGACTCACGGGCAAACAGCACAGCCAGGGGGCGGCCCGAACATAAACAAGCCGAGCAGTACCAGGTGGAGATGCCGCTGTTTTTTTTTCGATGGGCGGAACCTCTGAAACAGTTCTTCCTCATTGGTCAGAATCATTCGTTCTCGTCCTCACTGCTTCTCCCATACAGCCAAACATGCCACTGTGCTGCCAAACAACTGAGCGGAATGTCCTCTGGTCAAGGATTTACAGGCGCCTTGAGCGCTTCCAGGATTCTCCCCTCGTGACTTTTCAAGAGTCATTCGGACGTTCTTTGGGTGTAGACCTTCACCTTGCCCAAAGATGATCCCACGGGGGGCCGCGCCGAAGCCCTCCTGGACCCCTCTTTGGCCATCAAAAAAGCCGTGCAAAGGCCCAAGAGATCCAAATGAATATGGCCCCCCCCCAATTAGGAAAAAGCTTCCTCTTGCGTGCGCGCATTGCTTTGGCATTGCTCGGCGTTGCTTGTCCTTGATGGCACTGCTTGGCACTGCGTGGCGTTGCGTTGTATGGATTGACGCTGCTTTCAATGCTGTGCATGGATTGACAGTGCTGTGCATTGCTTTGCATTGCTTGGCGTTGCTTGGCATTCATTGCCACTGCTTGTCATTGCTTTGCATGGATTGGCATTGCTGCGCATTGCTTTGCACTGCTTGGCATTGCTGTGCAACGCCGGGGAAGCCGAGAAAAGAGTACAGGAAACACGAAACACCTCAACAAAACACAATGACCCGAGAAATTCGGAGGCAAGTCTGGAGAACCCGACGAACCCAAGCAAACAACAAGACCAGGGAACCCGGTGCACAAGACCAGTAAACCCACGGAAGGAAGGAAGGCAGAGAACAAGACTGGGAAACAAAAAGGAAAAGAGACAAGGACCAAGTAGAGGCCTCCTAGATGGGGTCCGGGTAGATGGGGTCGGAGGATCGCGACGCATCGCCGATGCATCGCCAATGCATCGGAGATGTATCGGCGACGTCGGCGACGCATCGGCATGGAGAAAATCGGGCGCCTCATCGAGCCGCATCGTCGATGCGTCGGTGATGCGGCGCGATCATCTGACTTCATCTAATCCGTTCTGATCTGGGAAGCCTAGACCAAAGGACAAAGGAACCACGATCAAGGCAAATAACCAACCAAGACCAGGGGCCCCGGGAAATGCGATGCAAGGAAACAAGACGGGGGAACCCTGGGAGTCAAGACTGGGGAACCTTCAGGAACAGAGGAGCGACCAGGTCCCGCACCGACCAGATTATACAAAAAAATTCAATAGTAGGGGCTCGACCACAAGAAACCTTGCACAAGAAACCCAACTCTGAGACCTAAGGACGTCCACCCATTTCTTGCATGGGAGCGTCATGCTGTCCACAGCAAAACCATCGAAACAATCGAAACCCAAGAAATCCAGGGCACCCTAGAGGCAAGCCAGGTGTTTCTTGGCATGGGTCTCCACTGTGAACTCTTCAGGATCCTTCAGGGATAGAAGCCACGCTTCTGCATGATCTGGCATGATGTTTCTGTGTTGTTGACAGCGTTCAATCTGGATCCAACAGGCCCCAACCATCGCCCCAAGATGGTCCCCAAGAAGGACCCAGGAGGCCCCGACCCAGAACCCGTTGATAATCGTCCCTCGAGTCGGTATTTTAAGGACGCCTCCAGAGGCAAATATGTCTACAAAATCGATTGGCTTGTTCCAATCGAAGCATGAGGGGGTATGGTTTGTGCGACCGTATGATATGATCCGTCCTCATGTAAACTCGTGTCGTTATCGTCGCCGTCATCGTGGTTACCGTTGCCAATGCTACCGTATCGCCCCCCATGGCAATGGAGAGAAGAAGTGATGATCCATCGTTTCTTTAAAGCCGAATGTTTATGTCAGCGCGCCCGCATTTCCCCTGCCACGAACCCCCCCACCTAAAGTAAGCGCAATGATCTTTATGGATCAAGGCCTGTAACCACCAACTCGCACTATCACCGCCTGTAGCAACCAAATCCGCACGATCATTCTTCCATCGCTACTATATTACTGTCATCGCAGTCGAATCCATGACCGCGGCGGTCACGGTTGGTGTAAGAATCGCCACTGGCACCGCCCTCTCTGGAAGCAAGCCGTCAACCTGATTACCGCAGGGGACCTCGTAGAGCTCCCCCCCCGCACCCGTCCGACGCTCCCTGGGGTCGGCGCGAGAGAGAAATATAGAAAGAGGAAAAAAGTCAGCGAGAGAGAGAGAGAGAGACAATCGTACGTTGTGTACAAAAAACTACCGGCGTATTGCAGAATACGACTCGAGCTGTGATTCTCTCAACGTAGCCACTTCCAATTATCGGACATCGTGAATGCTAAGCAAGTGTTAAGTTTGGCTTTGATGGTCTCATTGCCAACTCTGTAACTTGCGTGTATCGCAAGTGCCAACAAAAACGGCAATACCTGCTAAAATATCAACACCCAAACTCGGTTCGCGCAATACTTTCGATGGTTACGAAGCTCATATGAGCACGGCATTTCCTGTCACAATAAATGAATATTGGATTTCAGAGTATGACCAGTCAACTCTTTACTGAATACTAAGAAAACCGAGCCCGAGTCACCACTTTGTCCGTCCGAACCGCGTCGGCCAACTAGCCCCACCCTGCTCCCGAACTCCTCCTAGCTCATCTTGCCGAAGAACTCTACGAGGTATTATCCGCCGACTATTTCTGGGTCTCCGGGCGTATGAGATTATTCCCCCTTTAACCCCACCATGGGAACCCCAAGCCAAGGATTCGACCCCCCCCACCCCTCTCTGTGGCACCAGGCGGTCCACCCCCGAACTCACCTGGAGGGTCTGGCCCGTGGGACCCGCCGTTTGCGCGATTAGAACCAGATGTGTCCCTTTAGTTTCAGTTTCTACTGTTTGTAGCCCCCCAAATTGGATCGAAATTCTGGATGGTGTAGACGATCCACATTCACAACCCTTCGGTAGCAGCCTTTACATATGATTACTGTGGGGGCGACCTTACAAAAGGAGTGGGATCTGCAGTGGCCTCCACAATTAAAACGCTCCAATAGCAGCCTGTATAACAGCCTGTACAAAAGAGATTCCTTGTGTGGCGGCCTTACAAAAACACAAATTTAAAGTGTGGGGGGTCTGCAATACAGGCACCCTGAACCCAAGAAAACTAAAGAAGAACGCCAGACAACAACGAGGAAAACATAACAAACGTTTGCTGTCACATGCAAAAGTAGGAGAAATCTAGGAAAACCCGTGACTGTCTGTATTTGTGGAACAGACGCTCCACAATTCAAATCCTTTCGTCGCAGCCTTTCCAAAAGGATTTCTTATGTGGCGGCCTTACAACAAAATGAATTGTGGGGGATCTGCATTATCAGCGCGTTGGGGCCCAAGAAAAACTAAAAAGGAAAACTGGAAACAAAAACGGGAACAACAATGCTATGTTCACCTGGGAAAGTCGGAACAAAAAAACTGTGTCTGTCCGTATTGTTGTTGCGCATACGTTCCACACTGAAAACCCTTTGGTCGCAGGTTTTTTCACAAGGATTACTTGTGTGGCGGCCTTTTAAAAGGATTTGAAGGGTGGGGGATCTGTAGCGGTCTCCACACTGAGAACCCTCTTGCATCAGTCTTGACAAACGGATTCTTTGTGTGGCGGCCGTACATGGGGGTTTTTAATTGTGGGGGGATCTGCAGTGGCGGCACCTTGGGTCTAGGAAAGCTCGAGAGGAAAACAGGACAAGCAGGAACATAGGAAACACCTTGTGCTTGCACAAAGAAAAACAGCAACACAATAGGAAGACCTGTGACTATCGGTACTTCACGGCGCAGACGCTCAACTATCAAAACCCTTGTGTAGCAGCCTTTCCTGAAGGATTATTTTGTATCCCTTTGTGCAGGCTGCTATGAGAGGATTCGCATTGTGGACGCCACTGCAAATCCCCCACACTAAACATCCTTTCGTAAGGTCGCCAAAAGAAGGAATCCTTTTGTAAAAGCTGCTACAACAAGGATCTCAAGTGTGGAGCGTCTGCGCCTTAAACATACCCACAGTCACAGGTCTTCTGAGCTTTTCCAACTGTTAACACAACTTGCTCTTGTTTGTCATGGTTTTCCTGCTTCCCTCTCCAACTTTCATGGGCTCAAGGTGCCGCCACTGCAAATCCCCCCACACTTAAAACCCTTTTTGTAAGGCGTCCACAGAAGAAATCCCTTTGTCAAGGCTGTTACATAAAGATTCTCTTTATGGACGTCACTACAGTTCCTCCACAACTAGAATCCTCATGTAAGGTCGCCACACAAGGACTCCTTTTGTAAATGCTGCTACAACAAGGACTTTAATTGTGGAGCGTCTGCACCATAAAAATACAGTCTGTCACAGGTCTTCCTAGCTTTTTTCCTACTTTTCCATGTGGCAACACAAGCTGCATCATGTTTTTGTTCCGGTGTTCCTCTCTAGCTTTCCTGAGCTCAAGGTGCCTCCACTGTAGATCCCCCACCATCA